ATGATACCATACATTTTACCTCTCAAACCTATATTTCTTGAGCATTTCCACATTCTACCTCTATCTACAGAATCAAACGCCTTTTTGAAATCTACAAAAGCTACATACAACTTTCGCTTGCTAAAGGATAAATATATCTCAATAATAGCATACAAGGTAAATATATGATCAAATGTTGAGTAGTCCTTTCTAAATCCTGCTTGAGGTTCCGGTATTAAATCTCTCATATTCGACCATTGTCTTAACCTACTGTTGATAATAGACGTAAAAGTTTTACCTAGAATGTTAGTCAGAGAAATACCCCTATAATTGTCAGGATTTTGTGCATTTCCGTTTTCATATAATGGGATAATAATACATTGCGCCCATACGGAAGGAAAACTACCTGTATCAAATACTCGATTGAACATTTTAACCAGGAAGGGCATAATGTCAGGTAATGAGTATTTCAGCATACCTTCCACGGTTAAATAATAAATCATTAAGGCCTAATCTAAACTGTATAAAAGCATTGCGAATATTTCTGTATTGAAGGTGAGCAAGATAACACTCTGGATCAAGCAACGACTTAAATTGACGATATGAATCTTATCTAGAACTTTCATTAATAGTTGAATGCCTTTCCTGCTTAAACATATCAATAGCCCGCATACGAAACTGTTTAATAAACACATTTGCATTGCCAACTGTCTGTGTCCTATAGTTAACACATGATATAGCCTTATATACCCTGACTCTCTACTGACTAACTTATATGTCCTGTAGTTTACACATGATATAGCCTTATATACCCTGGCTTTCTACTGACTAACACATATGTCCTGTAGTAAACACATGATATAGCATTATATACCCTGGCTTTCTACTGACTAACTTATATGTCCTATACTTAACACATGATATAGCCTTATATACCTTGGCTTTCTACTGACTAACTTATATGTCATATAGTTAACACATGATATAGCCTTGTATACCATGGCTTTCTACTGACTAACTTATATGTCCTGTAGTTAACACATGATATAGCCTTATATACCCTGGCTCTCTACTGGCTAACTTATATGTCCTGTAGTTAACACATGATATAGCCTTATATACCATGGCTTTCTACTGGCTAACTTATATGTCCTATAGTTAACACATGATATAGCCTTATACACCCTGGCTCTCTACTGGCTAACTTATATGTCCTATAGTTAACACATGATATAGCTTTATACACCCTGGCATTCTAATGGCTAATTTCTTGTCTTATAGTTAACACATGATATAGCCGTGTATACCCTGGCTTTTTACTGACTAACTTATATGTCCTGTAGTTAACACATGATATAACCTTATATACCCTTACTCTCTACTGGCTAACTTATATGTCCTATAGTTAACACATGATAGAGCCTTGTATAGCCTGACACTCTACTGGCTAACTTATATGTCCTATAGTTAACACATGATTTAGCCTTATATACCCTGGCTCTCTACTGGCTAACTTATATGTCCTATAGTTAACACATGATATAGCCTTATACACCCTGGCTCTCTACTGGCTAACTTATATGTCCTATAGTTAACACATGATATAGCTTTATATACCCTGGCTTTCTACTGGCTAACTTATATGTCCTATAGTTAACACATGATATAGACTTGTATAGCCTGACACTCTACTGGCTAACTTATATGTCCTATAGTTAACACATGATATAGCCTTGTATAGCCTGACACTCTCCTGGCTAACATATATGTCCTGTAGTTAACACATGATATACCCTTATATACCCTGGCTTTCTACTGGCTAACTTATATGTCCCATAGTTAACACATGATATAGCCTTATACACCCTGGCTCTCTACTGGCTAACTTATATGTCCTGTAGTTAACACATGATATAGCCTTATATACCCTGGCTCTCTACTGGCTAACTTATATGTCCTGTAGTTAACACATGATATAGCCTTATATACCATGGCTTTCTACCGGCTAACTTATATGTCCTATAGTTAACACATGATATAGCCTTATACACCCTGGCTCTCTACTGGCTAACTTATATGTCCTATAGTTAACACATGATATAGCTTTATATACCCTGGCTTTCTACTGGCTAACTTATATGTCCTATAGTTAACACATGATATAGCCTTGTATAGCCTGACACTCTACTGGCTAACTTATATGTCCTATAGTTAACACATGATATAGCCTTGTATAGCCTGACACTCTACTAGCTAACGTATATGTCCTATAGTTAACACATGATATAGCCTTATATAGCCTGACTCTCTACTGGCTAACTTATATGTCCTATAGTTAACACATGATATAGCCTTATATAGCCTGACTCTCTATTAGCTAACTTATATGTCCTATAGTTAACACATGATATAGCCTTGTATACCCTGACACTCTACTAGCTAACTTATATGTCCTATAGTTAACACATGATATAGCCTTGTATAGCCTGACACTCTACTGGTTAACTTATATGTCCTATAGTTAACACATAATATAGCCTTATATAGCCTGACACTCTACTAGCTAACTTATATGTCCTATAGTTAACACATGATATAGCCTTGTATAGCCTGACTCTCTACTGGCTAACTTATATGTCCTATAGTTAACACATAATATAGCCTTGTATAGCCTGACACTCTACTGGCTAACTTATATGTCCTATAGTTAACACATGATATAGCCTTGTATAGCCTGCCTCTCTACTAGCTAACGTATATGTCCTATAGTTAACACATGATATAGCCTTGTATAGCCTGACACTCTCCTGGCTAACTTATATGTCCTATAGTTAACACATGATATAGCCTTATACACCCTGGCTCTCTACTGGCTAACTTATATGTCCTGTAGTTAACACATGATATAGCCTTATATACCCTGGCTTTCTACTGGCTAACTTATATGTCCTATAGTTAACACATGATATAGCCTTGTATAGCCTGACACTCTACTGGCTAACTTATATGTCCTATAGTTAACACATGATATAGCCTTGTATAGCCTGACACTCTACAAGCTAACGTATATGTCCTATAGTTAACACATGATATAGCCTTATATAGCCTGACTCTCTACTGGCTAACTTATATGTCCTATAGTTAACACATGATATAGCCTTATATAGCCTGACTCTCTATTAGCTAACTTATATGTCCTATAGTTAACACATGATATAGCCTTGTATAGCCTGACACTCTACTAGCTAACTTATATGTCCTATAGTTAACACATGATATAGCCTTGTATAGCCTGACACTCTACTGGTTAACTTATATGTCCTATAGTTAACACATAATATTGCCTTATATAGCCTGACACTCTACTAGCTAACTTATATGTCCTATAGTTAACACATGATATAGCCTTGTATAGCCTGACTCTCTACTGGCTAACTTATATGTCCTATAGTTAACACATAATATAGCCTTGTATAGCCTGACACTCTACTGGCTAACTTATATGTCCTATAGTTAACACATGATATAGCCTTGTATAGCCTGCCTCTCTACTAGCTAACGTATATGTCCTATAGTTAACACATGATATAGCCTTGTATAGCCTGACACTCTCCTGGCTAACTTATATGTCCTATAGTTAACACATGATATACCCTTATATACCCTGGCTTTCTACTGGCTAACTTATATGTCCTATAGTTAACACATGATATAGCCTTATATACCCTGGCTCTCTACTGGCTAACTTATATGTCCTGTAGTTAACACATGAAATAGCCTTATATACCCTGGCTCTCTACTGGCTAACTTATATGTCCTGTAGTTAACACATGATATAGCCTTATATACCATGGCTTTCTACCGGCTAACTTATATGTCCTATAGTTAACACATGATATAGCCTTATACACCCTGGCTTTCTACTGGCTAACTTATATGTCCTATAGTTAACACATGATATAGCCTTGTATAGCCTGACACTCTACTGGCTAACTTATATGTCCTATAGTTAACACATGATATAGCCTTGTATAGCCTGACACTCTACTATCTAACGTATATGTCCTATAGTTAACACATGATATAGCCTTATATAGCCTGACTCTCTACTGGCTAACTTATATGTCCTATAGTTAACACATGATATAGCCTTATATAGCCTGACTCTCTATTAGCTAACTTATATGTCCTATAGTTAACACATGATATAGCCTTGTATACCCTGACACTCTACTAGCTAACTTATATGTCCTATAGTTAACACATGATATAGCCTTGTATAGCCTGACACTCTACTGGTTAACTTATATGTCCTATAGTTAACACATAATATAGCCTTATATAGCCTGACACTCTACTAGCTAACTTATATGTCCTATAGTTAACACATGATATAGCCTTGTATAGCCTGACTCTCTACTGGCTAACTTATATGTCCTATAGTTAACACATAATATAGCCTTGTATAGCCTGACACTCTACTGGCTAACTTATATGTCCTATAGTTAACACATGATATAACCTTATGATATAGCTCTCTACTGGCTAACTTATATGTCCTATAGTTAACACATGATATAGCCTTGTATAGCCTGCCTCTCTACTAGCTAACGTATATGTCCTATAGTTAACACATGATATAGCCTTGTATAGCCTGCCTCTCTACTAGCTAACGTATATGTCCTATAGTTAACACATGATATAGCCTTGTATAGCCTGCCTCTCTACTAGCTAACGTATATGTCCTATAGTTAACACATGGTATAGCCTTATATACCCTGACTCTCTACTGACTAACTTATATGTCCTGTAGTTTACACATGATATAGCCTTATATACCCTGGCTTTCTACTGACTAACTTATATGTCCTGTAGTAAACACATGATATAGCCTTATATACCCTGACACTCTACTGGCTAACTTATATGTTCTATAGTTAACACATGATATAGCCTTATGATATAGCTCTCTGCTGGATAATTTATATCTTGCTAACTAAGGAAACCGTTTCTGTTTCCAGATTGGTCAACTGCATGAAAAAGTCAATATGCACAGATCTGAAATCGCAAGTGAGTAACACACTTACCTGTTTGTGTTCATATGCAATAATTGCAGACAGATCAATGCGAAATGATTCTGTTAAAATACGTCTACCATCACACATGTACCTTTTCACCAGTTGAAACACCGACTCAGATACGACTGTTTATAACCTAAACCGTGTAGTACCTCTTACTTTTTACAGGGTTGGAGAACGAAGTGTTACCAGACCTAATGGCCCAGGTACTCACTGACTTGTAGACGGAAGTATTTATGAACGTAAAGGAAAAGCATGTGTCGTATGTTTCCCAAATTAGTTCTCAAATATTTTATTCAATGTTTGTGACGTAAACAGTGAACTACAAACATCGCATGTAATAACTATATTTTGAAAAATTATTGAAAATAAATTATTATAAATATTTTCAGGGGAGACGAAGCCAAAGAGCAGCTTGAAAAGCATGAACAAAATGCCCAAGGTACAACTGACCCATAATCACCTTAAAGTCGTGTGTGCTTTTGTTACCATGGTAGAAGTTCAGCCGGGGTCAAAGTATTACCTTAGCACACAGCACAAACTGTTGTTATATTTTTATCTTGTGTCTTTAACTACGTGGACAGGATGGAACAGAATTTATGCTTGTTTGGATTTGTACACATCAATCTCAGAACTTGCCAACGTGCCTGGTAGCTCGTGGCTGTAGAGGGAGAGCCTAAAGTACGCTGTCCAAGCGCCCAACCGCACTCCATAACAATACAGACGAGTCCCTGTCGATTTACCTTTTAGTGCTGAAATCACAGACTGTTCTGTCACACGATATCGCTAGAAGGGCAGGTAACTCTCTTAATCTCTTAGCTATATGTGATGCATGATTTTGAAACATCACATCAAGAAATTCCAGCCTCAGTTGTAATATTAATATATATTTCCAGGTAAAATGGAGGAAGTTGCAGTCCTGAATGAAAAGGTATCTTGTGGACTAATCCTCTGAATTCTGAATCTTCTAAACTAAATGATACATCTGAAATATGCGATACATCAAAACCAAAATGATACCTCTAACTCGAACACAATAATACCTTATTTTGTATGAAAGTAGCTATCAAATGACAACTGTTCATTGCTGGCAGTATGCCTTTATATGAATAACAGCTGCTTCACGTTCTTGAGATGAGTTTCTTTATATGAAATGTCTCTTTTTGTCACGTTTCAGATGCAGAAACTGACAGAAGAACTACAAGAGTAAGGCACAGACGTAGCACGTGAGCGTATATTTAGTGCTTGGCTGTACATGTATAGTACAATATACGATGTAAGAAAGAATTCATTTGTGGATTTCAATTCCAGTATGTCTATTATATACGCAAGTAGTAGTAGTAGTAGTAGCATTCATTATATTTACAGGTGAACGTGCAAACGTTGAAGATCTATACATTGAGGTAAGTTTATGGTAAAAGGTTACAAACTAGTCAAACTGCAGGGTCGAATTTCAAGTCAAAACCTTGACTCAGTACTAACAGTGTTGACTAAGTTATATTTATTTCATACACCACCCATACTCTTGTCATACCCTGGTTGTGCTCTAGTCTCACATTCATTCCATATCACAACACGGTATGCACTCGTGGTGCCTTTGTCATATACTCTCCACATTCCTGTCACATAACCTTCACACTTTTCTCCTGCAGTCATCACATCCATGCCTTACATTCGTCATACCGGTAATATGACTGCCATGCTGTCGTCACACATCCTTCATGCTGTCGTTGAAGATCGATCTTGCACTCGTCATAGACTGTAATGCTTACGTCATATTCCTGTCATCCGTTCGTCATAGACTGTAATGCTTGCGTCATATTCCCGTCATCCTTTCGTCATAGACTGTAATGCTTGCGTCATATTCCCGTCATCCTTTCGTCATAGACTGTAATGATTGCATCATATTCCCGTCATGCTTTCGTCATAGACTGTAATGCTTTCGGCATATTCGCGTCAACCTCTCGTCATAGTCTTGTTACTCTTTCATATACGTTTGCGAATGGGTCCAGGGTCTACCACGTTAAAGGACTGGGATATGACACAGGGGATAATAGTTGATGAAGACTGGCTTATCACACTTCATGTCGATGTTATGTAACGTCTTCACTATTGACATTATGGTAAACTGGATTTTGTTTTTTATTATCTGCAGATTGGGAAGTTGGAAAAAGACTTCCAGAAAATAGAATCAGGTGAGTTGATGAAAGGGAGCTGATGTTTAGCAAGGACACTTTGACACTTTCGATATTGGAACTACTGTGACACCATTGTTCTGATGAGTGTTTCCATGTATTGCGCACACATATATGGGGTCACTGACAGTTCATAATAAGTATCAAGGAAATAATGGTTTATACAGATACTATGCTGAACAAAGTCAACAACTGCCAGGAATGAATGATGCTATAAAGAAACATGTGAGTTACATCAGACACACCTACACTGGTCTTTTCCTCGGTGTGTAATTACACAGCAGCCGTGCTGATTACATTCACCAGTGTGGTAAGCATTGGGAAACCGTAGCACTAACGGCTTTTGTCTCTTGTTATATTGTTAAGGAAATACTGTTTCAAGCATGCTTTTATATCCGTGATCACTTATGAAGAGTTGGGCGGTGGGGTAGCATAGTGGTTAAAGCGTTGGCTCGTCACGCTGAAGACCCGGGTTCGATTCCCCACATGGGCACAATGTGTTAAGCCCATTTCTGGTGTCCCCCGCCGTGATATTGCTGGAATATTGCTAAAAGCGGCGTAAAACTAAACTCAGTCAGTTATGAAGAGTTATAGATGTGAAATCATGAAATTATAAATACTCTTATGACTTTTGATTACCTTCAGATCAAATGACAGCCGTACAAGAAATGAAGACTGAAGTAAGTTCCATTTATAATTTCAAAATGACGTTAATATAACTAAGACTTGACACGACAGAACACAGATTTGATTGTCAACTGAAAAACTGTGTTGCAATGGCAGTTTACACAAAAGGATATGTCTCAATAAGCGAACGTTTTACAATCCATCCCGAACTTAATCCACCCTCCATGTATCTTCTCCTTGTTAATATCGTATGATTGGTTACAAATCCCCATCAAAATATACTGATAACTTCACAATATGCCACTCATGTGATACTTTAGCACATATTCTGAGTACCATGCGTAACACTGTATTTCATTCAGATAGTGAAGGTAGCATAAATATATGTACATGTACGTATCAAAATATCGAGAATGGTACACCGGTCATTACAGTTAAGTGTGGATAACATTTCTTGTTACAGATGAAGACTATTAAAGCTGCACAAGCGAAACAAACCGAAGAAACTCAAAACCTGCAAGGTATGTCCGATGCAATAAACAAACTTATGTGAGTTACATGAGACGAATACCACCTGTGCTCTTCTATGGTTTGCACTTGTGTGTTTACTTACAAATGACATTCTGAGACATCCTAGGAGGCTGACTAACTCGACCATGTGTACAAATGAAGAGTTATATCATGTCCAGAAAAATAGATGTGAGGAGTTGTAGTCTGGAAAGATAAATAATCTACTGACTTTTCATTATCTCCAGATGAAATGAGAAAGCAACGTGAATTGAACCAAGAAGTAAGTATTGCTATTTCTTCTGGTATTGTCATGTCACTGTGATTCTCCAATGTTACCAGAGAAATTGGAGCGGCTACAGCTGTTTCTCATTAAGTAAACAGCGCAGGCGAAATTAATGAATGATTATACTGATTACTAATCTTATGTTATAATTTGTGTATAACTCTGGTTTATGGGATGACCGGGAGAAAAAAAAGTTAAATCAGTGCGTGTACATGCGTGCGTGGGTGCGTGCGTGTGCAATGCTTGTCGTTCGCTAAGTCCTCCAAGACAACTAAATTTGGCTACTAATATTTAATGACGTGTTTTCTACACTAAATAAGATTCACACTTATATATACATTTTGAAAACAATAAAGGAGAAGTGTTTATGTAATTTCCTTTGTTATAGATGGAGAAACAGCATGATGAATCGTTGAGGAAAGTGCAAGACCAGCTGAAAGGTTTGCCCCATATATAAAAAGTGAAACCAGAAAATCAGAGATATAATACTTTATATGCTTCATCTCTCAGGCAAGTATTCCTTTATACACTGAAGGCATCAGCTAGATGTTCTTTCACACTCTGAAACTCTTAGGTACAATACATTATATATTCAATAATCTTCTGTAGCCCCACGATGCTTGGAGTCAGACCATGATGCATGCCTTGTACAGGTCATATACAGTTCACCAATATTGCAACTATCGATTCTCATTCATGCACGTATGTTTGCCTCGGTTTAAAAGTTGTTAATACCGTATCATTGGGCACAGATCCCTATCAAAATATGCCGCTAACTTAAATACTCATGTCATACGGATTTTTGCACCACATTCATAAAAGCCAGTTGCCATCTTGATTGTCAACCACGCGTGCTTCTACCTCAGTTGTCTTGTGTGGGGTTTTTTCTGACCCAGATATGATTTTTAACAGGCCACTGTCAGATAGCAGGAAAGCTGCTGAATGTTTAAAATTATAAACAGTTTATCCGTACATAATAATTACACGTAGATATATTTAGCTATTCTTTAAGCGTTCATTTTACTTTGACATATTGTTACTTGTTGTAAAACCGTTACTCTTTCCAGAAGGAAAGATGGCAAGGGAAGCAGCAGAGCAAAAGGGAAATACTCTGAAATATCGGGTAAATAGTCATTAGCTCTTATTCATTTATATTTCTTCGTGGAAACAATCAGCAAAATAATCCTTAAAACGCTTCACTTCTCAGATAAATATCCCTTAATACACTGAAAGCATCAGGTACATATTCCTTCATACTCTGAAACTCTTAGATAAATATCCCATTACACTCTGTAAAGTTGTAAAGTATACTTAAATACTGAAATTGTGAAGTAAATTCCCTTTCTATACTAAACTAATCCGAAGCGATATGAATCCTTTGTGCACTGAAGGTATCAATCAAATATATACAGGGCCTTGTAGATGTTCTCATACACAACCGACTCCATGGTTGTTTGATCAGGGATACAACATTCAAGGACTTAGTTTACTTGTCAGCAAGTTTTGTGGTAAACATAGGAAGCTACCCCTGCTCTGCTGACGCCTGGACTACACTGTGTAATTGTGAGATGCTTTTTATGAATATGTGTCTAACCTGGATACCTACAGAAAGTAGGTAACCCGGAAATACCGAGTACATATATTATTGTAAATTGTCTCTGGTATGGGAATTTATGACACGCAATAAAGTTTGAACAATGGTATGATATTCTGGTTTATCATCCAAAACTGTGTTCCTCAGGAGATATCGCTTGTATGAGATCAAACGATATCTCCTAGGAGATATAGTTTTGACAGTAGATTTTGTACAATGCCCTGACATGTACTTGGTGACGTCACATTGCTATGACATCGCTGCACTGCAAGTCTAATGGCAGTAAAAAGTTTAGAGATGTACATTTTTCATTGAAAATTAATGAAGGTGATTTTGGATGATAAATAGAATCTCACCCTCGTGTCTTCTGATATCAAATATATCAACACTCGTTGATAAAGTAAAAATATCCTCGGCAAGCCTCGGATATTTGTAACTTTATCAACTCGTGATGATATAATTGATATCAGAAGACACTTGGGTGAGATTCTCTATATAGCACCACTAATATGACATTCGTTGTTTCAGATACAGGAACTAGAGGAGCGCCATGTGGGCCCGATGAAAACCAGCCAAGATTTGAGACAACAAGATCAGACTGGTAGACTTTATATTGTGATCAGTTGCATGCATCTATTGAGGGTATGCCTTTCCCTTCAGATTTAAGTAAACCTAAGGGAAAAATTACGAGTCAAGAACTAATATTTTCTAAATAGTAGTAACATGATAACATTTACTGTGGCTTTAGAGCTTGATAGTTATGGTGGTTGAATGGTAGAGTTGGATGGTTGTGGTGGTTGAATGGTAGAGTTGGGTTGTTTCAAAGGTTGAGTTGTAGATTTTCGTAGTTGCAGTGGCAGATGTTGATAGTTAAGGTAGTTGAATGGTAGATTTGGGTAGTTATTGTATTTGAATGGTAGAGTTGAATGGTTATGGTATTTGAATGGTAGAGTTGAATGGTTAGAGTAATGGTTGGATGGTTAAGATGGTTGAGGTGGTAGAGTGATTACAGGGGATAGAGTTCAGTGATATAGTTGAGTGGGTTACATGGCTGAGTTTGATGGTAGAGATTGACGGTAGAGTTGGATAGTAGAGTTGGAAAATACATTTTGCTAATTAAAGTGATGCGATTGGATGGTAGAGTCTCTTAGTGAAGTTGTTGAATTGTATTGTGGAACTGGAAGTTACAGTTGTCTGGTGGAGCAGGAAGGTGGAATTGAGATGTAGGTAAGGATGGAGTTCAACTGTACAGTTCGATGCCCATATGTGACAGACTTATCATGGATAGTAGTACTTGGTGGTGAAATTTGACGTAGACTATAAGACCTGGCTGGCAGCATGTAGTACTTGGGTTTTTTTTCTCGAAAGTACAAGTGGGGACCTGAGAAGGGTAGCTGTGTTGAGTGTTTGAATTAAATATTCAACAAATGGTTTATTTGGATGCACAGATGTACAGTTGAGTAGGTGCATGGCCAAATGATGTGAATGGTAGAACTGGATGGAAGCTTTGAATGGTAGAACTGGATGACATATTTTGTTGTAGATTTAGTTGAATTGGTATGAATCAATAACATCTAAAAAATGGGGGTGGGGTGGGGTGGATAAAAAAGAACCAAGGAGCGAAATGATGGTTATGAATTGTGAAAGGCACATGTGGTTTGAATACTTCGTGTCAGTTGGCAGTGTTGTGGACATAGCCATGTCAGTGAAACCATCTTTTTAGAATTATATAAATTCAAAAAGAAAAAAACACCTTTGAATATAAAATGTTAACTTACATACGTTCCTCTGCTTCTCTGCTAATTGCTATCATCAATTAATCTCATTTTAAACAACATTCCTGTACTTCATTGAAGTTGTGATAACCTGTGCCCAATTACTTTCAAGTACATACACGTGACTGTGTTAAGACATAAGCCATCCTCGATAATCTCCAGGGTAATGTTCATTGGTAGAAACTGTATGAAGAATTGTGTGTTAGATGGCCCAAAGTTTGTTATCGGCTGCGCTGAAAATCGAAGAGAAGTAATATTGCCACTCTAGACAAGGTAAGGCCAGATCAAGCGGAACAAAGCCGGATAGGTTATCAAAATAACAGTCTCTGGTGAAACCCTAGCATACTGGCGACAGATGAGCGTATATCAATATTTGGGTAATGAACACACGTCTTAATCATTTTCATATGTTGGTTAATCTTTAAGAATGACAAGCTTCATAATGTCCGATTCACTCAAGCAGGCAATGGTGAATATGGATATACTTCAAGGGCCTGATTTGTTCAAAATTCAAAATGGTTTACAAAATAAAGACTCGCGACTGCTCTGGCTATTTATGGTACACACACAACAACACAACTCCTTCCATCTCCCATCCAACACACACGTACAGACACATCAACACACCTTCTTCCCCCATCCAACACACACCTACACACACAGCAAGATACCTCCTTTCACCATCCAACACACACGTACACACACATCAACTGACCTCCTTCCCCCATCAAACACAAACGTACAAACACCACAACACACCTCTTTCACCCATTTAACCAACGCGTACACACACAGCAATACACCTCCTTCCCCCATCCAACACACACGTACACACACAGGAACACACCTCCTTACCCCATCCAACACACACGTACACACAGCAACACACCTCCTTCCCCCAAGCAACACACACGTACATACACATGAAAACACCTCCTTTCCCAAACCAAGACACACGTACATACACAGCAATACACACCCTTCCCCCATCCAAAACACACGTACACACACAGCAACACACTTCCTCCCCCAAAACCAACACTCACGTACACACATTTCAAAACACCTCCTTCACCTATCCAACACACACGTACAAACACAGCAATGCACCTCCTTTCCCCATCCAACACACACGTAGATACACATCCACACACTTCCTCCATCACAACCAACACACACGTACACACACAGCAATACACTTCCTTCCCCCATCAAACACACGTACACACACAACAATCCACCTTAGTCCCCCATCCAACACACAGGTACACACACATCAACACACCTCTTTCCCACATCCAACACACACGTACAGACACAGAAACACACCTCCTTCCCCGATGCAACACACACGTACATACACAGCAATACACGTCCTTCCCCCATGCAACACAAGCGTACACACAGCAACACACCTCCTTCCCCCATCCAACACACACAGCAACACACTTCCTTCCCCATCCAACACACACGTACACACACAGCAATTCACCTTCTTCCCCAATCCAACACACACGTACACACACAGCAATACACTTTCTTCCCCCATCCAACACCCACGTACACACACAGCATCACACCTCCTTTCGAAAATCCAACACACACGTACACAAACACACAGCAACACACTTCCTTCCCCCATCCAACACACACATGCACACACAGCATCACATCTCCTTTCCAAAATCCAACACACACGTACACACACAGCAAGACACCTGCTCCCCCATCCAACACACACGTACACACAACACACCTCCTCCCCCAATTCAACACACACGTACACACACAGCAACATATCTCCTTGCCCCTTCCAATACACACTTATACACACAGCAACACACTTCCTTCCCCCATCCAACACACACCTGCATACACATGAACACACCTCCTTTCCACAACCAAGACACACGTACATACACAGCAATACACCTCCTTCCCCCATCCAAGACACACGTACACACAGCAATACACTTCCTCCCCCCAACCAACACTCACGTACACACACAGCAGCACACCTCCATCCCCCATACAGCACACAAGTACGCACACAGAAAAACACCTCCTTCCCCTATTCAACATACACGTACACACACAGCAATACACTTCCTCCCCCCAACCAACACTCACGTACACACACAGCAGCACACCTCCATCACTCATACAGCACACAAGTACGCACACAGCAAAACACCTCCTTTCCAAAATCAAACACACACGTACACACACACAGCAACACACCTCCTTCCCCCTATCCAACACACACGTACACACACACACCATCACGCTTCCTTCCCCCATCCAACACACACGTACACACAACAACATACCTCCTTCCCCATCCAACACACACGTACACACACATCAACAAACTTCCTTCCCTATCCAACACACACGTACACACACTTCAACACACCTCCATCACCCATACAGTAAACACTTACACACACAGCAAAACACCTCCTCACCCTATCCAAAACACACGTACACACACAGCAATACACCTCCTTCCCCCATCGAACACACACATACACACACAGCAATACACCTCCTTCCCCCATCGAACACACACGTACACACAGCATCAAACCCCCTTTCCAAATTCCAACACACACGTACACATACACACGGCAACACACTTCCTTCCCCCATCCAACACACGTACAAACACATCAACACACCTCCTTCCCCAATCCAACAAACTCGTACACACACACACAGCAAAACACTTCCTTCCCCCATCCAACACACACGTACAAACACATCAACACACCTTCTTCCCCAATCCAACACACACGTGCACACACACACACAGCAACACACTTCCCTCACCCATCCAACACACACGTACATACACAGCATCACACCTATTTTCAACCATCCAACACACACGTACACACACAACAACACACCTCCTTCCCTCATCCAACACACACGTACACACATAGCAACACACCTCCTTCCCCCATCCAACACACACGCACACACACATCAACACACTTCCTCCCAAATCCAACACACGTACACACACATCAACATACCTTCTTCCTCCATCCAACACACACTTGCACAAACAACAACACACCTCCGTCTTCATCAAATACAAACGCACACAGAAACACAGCAACACATCTCCTTCCCCCATGCAACAGACACGTACACACAGCAACACACCTCCTTCAACCATCCAGCATGCACCTACAAACAAAGCAACACACCTCGTTCCACCATCCAACACACACGTACACACACAGCAATGCACCTCCTTCCCCAATCCAACACACACGTACACAAACAGCATCACACCTCCTTTCCCCCTTCCAACGCACACGTACAAACACAAACACACTTCCTTCCCCCATCCTACAACCACATACACACACAGCAATACACCTCCTTCCCTAATCCTACACACACGTACACACACAGCAAAACACCTCCTTCCCCCACCCAACACACACGTACATACACAGCAATACACCTCCTTCCCCCATCCAACACACACGTACACACACAGCAATACACGTCCTTCCCCCATCCAACACACACGTAAACACAGAGCAGTACACCTCCTTCCCCCATCCAACACACACGTACACACAGAGCAACACACCTCCTTCCCCCACCCAACACACACGTACACACACAGCAACACACCTCCTTCCCCCATCCAACACACACGTACACACACACACACACACACACACACACACACACACACACACACACACACACACACACACACAGCAACACACTTCCTTCCCTATCCAACACACACGTACAGACACAGCATGACATCTCCTTTCTAAAATCCAACACACACGTATACACACACACACACAGCAACACACTTCCTTCCCCTTTCCAACACACACGTACACACACAGAAATACATCTTCTTCAACTATCCAAGACACAGGTAGATACACATCGTGACACCTCCTTTGCCCATCCAACACACACGTACACACACACACACACACACACACACACACACACACACACACACCAACACACACACACACCAACACACACACACACCAACACACCAACACACTTCCTTCTCCTTTCCAACACACACGTACACACTGTCAAAAGGGCAGGTGGAGCATATTGTTACCATTCTCTGTTAGAATGTAGATTACATAAAGTCTAATATTCTAAGTATCATATTCTCTCCTCCAGTGTCTGGTGACTTGAAGACTGGGGTCTATCAACAAGCCGGGGAAGAAGCTAAACAACATGGAGGTAAAACTGGAGACTGTCTGAACATTGTGTTTGGTGCAGTGTAGTATATTTGGTTGGTGATAAAATAAGCATTAGATACAGACCCAACTTAACTGGCTCTGGGGGTAACTTAAATATTAGATAACTAGCTCAGACTAATGAACAAACTTGTACCTGATTGTTATTGTTATAGAAATAATCACACGAATGTACTGCGTAGATCTGGTACTTAAAACCTTGTGAATATGTTGTATAGACATTGTACTAAAACCTGAGTATTTGATGTATAGATCTAGTATTACAGACCAACTGGATATTCATGCATTGACGTAATACTAAATCAACTGAATATATTGTATATAGTAAATATAATGTTGATATAATGTAGATCTGATATAAAGTGTAGAACTCGTTTGTCATTTCTGAAACCTAACTGTTTTTCTTCAGCCTCGAGTGACGTGGAGGAGATGGGAACAAACGCCACAATGAGAGAAGCTGATGGAAGTGATCCACGTCAAGGAGGTGAGAGCAGTAGGCAGGACTGTGGTACTGGAATGTCACGCCAGTGTCAACACTTGTATCACAGTTCAGGATAAGTTATTGTTGCACGTCAAGGAGGTGAGAGCAGTAGGCAGGACTGTGGTACTGGAATGTCACGCCAGTGTCAACACTTGTATCACAGATCAGGATAAGTTATTGTGATGGAGTTGAACCAGTAAATACAGAATGTGAAATGTGTTTTCATTCGCTAGATAAGCTCTGTTCCAAACGTTACAAAATGGACAAAATTTACACCTGACATTCGATCCACATATATTAGATACAATGTACAAGTATTTGCTGTATTGTATTGATTGACAGTGACATCACCAGTACAATGTACAAGTATTTGCTGCATTGTATTGATAGACAATGACATCACGTGTACAATGTACAAGTTTCTGTTACAGTGACACAGAAAGACTCCAGCACCCGCCATGTTGATGCCCTCCTTGCTGCCTGCTATGATGGGAACATGGCCGAGGTGAAGCGTGTCCTGGATCTGGGGCAGGTGGACATCAACTGTAGAGGAGAGTTGAGCCAGACACCTGTGATGAGGGCAGCAGGTGGGGGACACAGAGACGTGGTTGAGCTGCTACTGAGTAGAGGAGCTGCTGTGTCACTGGTGGACGAGGACGGTAACAGCACCCTTCACTGCGCCTGTGTGGGAGGCGACGTGGGGACGGTGGAGATGATACTGTCTCTGGACGTGGTGGACGTCAACTGTAGAGGAGATTGGAGCTGGACACCTGTGATGTGGGCAGCAGTGGAGGGATACCACAGAGAGGTGGTGGAGCTGCTACTGAGTAGAGGAGCTGATGGGTCACTGGTGGCCGAGGTCGGTAACAGCATCCTTCACTACGCCTGTGATGGAAGAGATGTGGGGACGGTGGAGTTGATACTGTCCCGGGACGTGGTGGACGTCAACTGTAGAGGAGGGTTGAGCCAGACACCGGTGATGAGGGCAGCAGGTGGGGGACACAGAGAGGTGGTTGAGCTGCTACTGAGTAGAGGAGCTGATGTGTCACTGGTGGACGAGGACGGTAACAGCACCCTTCACTACGCCTGTGTGGGAGGCGACGTTGGGACGGTGGAGTTGATACTGTCCCTGGACGTGGTGGACGTCAACGCCAGGAACGACGACTGGTATACAGCGGCCTACTTGGCGATAGCCCATGGACATCATCAACTGTTGGTTCTTCTCTTGTCACGTGCTTCTCGGTGAAGTCGTGTGGTGTGGTGCAGACAGTGATACGTCGTCGTATTTACATTATTATGGTGTTTGAGGAGAAATATAACTTGTTAAAAACATTTTCAGACATTTTGTCATTTGTTTTTATGTGGATGTTTTCATGATCAGGTAAGAAGATAGTTGACTGAGTGTAAATACAGATATTGTGAGGTTAGTATATAAACACCACATCTCGTAACATATTTCTGTGTTTTTTTAATGGCAAATAAGTTTAAAATTATTCTTGAACTATGCAACAATTTGTTTGTTTATATGTCGATGCACTCTGTGACCTCAGACGGAGCCGATGTTCTCCCGGCGGATGTGGCGCTAAATGTACAATGACAGTGACGTCACACTGCTGATGACGTTACGCCACTGCGGTAACGGCCGTACACCAATGTGTTGTTTCTCCACAAAATACGATATCGGCGGCACAATGCTGTCGTTACGACAGAAGTATGCATACGCCAGTACAATGCTGGTAGCACGTGGCCGATGTTAGTTTCAAAGCCAAGCACGTGTTTCCATATAAATTCACTTTTAAGTGCAAAATACTGCTGCTGAAA